TGTTTGATTCATGTGGGAATAAAGCTTATGAATAAGGTATGCTCATATATTTCTACAATTTCATCGTAAAATAAAGGCAGATAGGGTGTTTACTTGCCGATCAGCCTTTACTCTGTCGTTCGAAACAAAAATAGATGCAAAAGTTCAACACTATGCTGCACACTTTGAAACTTAATTTTTGTTTCTATCTAAAGTTCTTATTCTATTGATTTTGGAAAATGCTGCTAGAATCGTATGGTTTACGGGAATTAATGCAATTTTTTCGATCTTACGAACAAAGTGTCAATATTTTGGGAAGTGTTCGTCCGAAAGTGTTGAATAATTATTTCTTTGATAGGACAGTAGAATTCTAGCAGCACTTTTTATGGCACAGAGCTGTTTTTACATAACTATTATTACAAATTGAAATTTATTATCCCCGGGGTATTGTTGAACATTTCATTTTTTCATTAAGGCATTTATTCTAATTATAGACGTCACGTGGTGACGTCGTGGTGAAGTGTTTCCTGTAGTATAATCCCCATTGAAGTCTATAGAATGCGTAATGATAGCAAAATTTTTAGCCATGACTTTTCCGATTTACTAGGGTTACATATTGTAAAAAAAAAGTCTTAATTCGCCGAATTCTGATCTGTGTGCCGCCTTAACTAACCCGCATATTCCAAAGCCAACAAGTCCCCCGCCCAATGAATCCCACAAATTGTCGATTTAGGATAGAATTTACAGAATATAGCTGATTTTGTACACTAGAATGTTTGTAAGGAAGTCTCAACAAACACTGGCTACATTTTCTCAGCATGAACATGCTGAAAACATTACGCATATGGCGCATACGTGCGCGTGTGAGAGTAAAATCGACGTTAAGTTGCCAAGCTTGCGTACCATATTAGAGCAGAGAGTTTCTGTCAGTATTAGGGTGAAAATATTAGTATTATTGTATGCTGTAAAAATATCGGTTTCAGTGATAATGATTTGACAATAACGAAGGTAGCATGCTGAAAAGCTCTATCTTGATGTGACGTTGTTACGCGCCAACTTCACCGTCATGCATATGGTTTGTTGGAAACCTTTTAAGTTACTCTCTGATAACCGAAAAAAACTGTTTTGGTTGAAAAGTTAAAAACAAACTGCACAGCAACATGTTGTTGCCTTTTTATTCATTTATGCAAATCAATTACTAGACCCAATGTAACTTCCGTCAGCCATACCATGATTGCAAGAAATTTATACTGACTGCAAATATCGGAAAACGATGTCTATGACTCACGCAGGAGCGTGCTCTACGTATGAACAATTTCTTAAACGAGGTAAATTGTTGACAGGCGGGTTGATGGAGCGGGAATGTCGACAGAGAGTCTCGTTTGGGGTCATCGTTTCGTAAGTTCTGTGGTCGATACAGTGGTCTTGTCGGCAGGTGCAGTTTGTCATTGAGTTGAGTGCTGACTGGCGTTTTTCATGCCAATTGTTGGTCCATTTTTTGTGCACTGAAATGGCGACGGATTTTTTCCGTTGTTTCCTGATCGTGGCAGGGGACGCACGGCGGGTGTGGCCGTTCGGCGGGGGATGCTCGCTCCTCCGTGGCGCCTGGTCCCAGCTCTGACGTTTCGGAGGTCTGTGTTTGCTCTGCTCTTGTTTTTATAATGTTTAATGGACGTTGGGATTGAGTACTGTTCGTTGTCTCCATATCCTTCTCTAATGCATCTCTTGGCATTACAAAATGTGATCACAAAATTGTCATCTTAAATATGCACGTGTATTTTGCTTTTTATCACGTCCCCTACGTGACGCCTTACATTTCATGGTTGAGTAATTTTGAGCAGCGATTTAAGTGCACAGTAACCAGAATACACATCTGACCAATTTTTATAATTTCGGCCACATTGTTAAATATTTTTCGCCATTATGCTATAATGCGTTTCTTTTTCCTTTCAGTATACATTGTAATAAATGGCAATTCCATGTATTAGGTTACTGAGAAAGAGTTCAAAAATGAAAAAAAATGTACAAAAAAAAAATAATTTTTATATTTATTTTGAAACATACTACACACCCCAGTTAGTGGTTTTCTTACTTTTCCACTTCTTCTCTAGTTTTTTTTTTTTTTGTTAACTCTGTGTAATGAACATCTTTAAAGGGGTTGCAGGACTCACAGATGTGGGGAAGATCAGATAAAGCAGGGATACCTAGGTTTTCTGATACATGTTATATTTTCAAGTTTACTTTTGAACAGAATACCGCAGTGTGCAAAATCGATTTTCACAAAGAAATTTTCTTTCTTAAAAAAATTAATTCTTCATTTCTCCATCAAAGCGACCAAAATGATGGCTCTTTAAGTAGTTATTTTATGGAAACATACACTTTATTTGCATGGTATCTGATCCCACCTCCGATGTTTGAGAGGTCTGTTTTTGCTCTGCTTCTATTTTGTACTCATTTTGTTTCATTAAAGTACCGTTAGTTCCGAACTCGACACATTCTTGGTCAAAAGTACTTTTCTCCAAAAATTTGAATCATTTTGATAATATCTTACATGTAATGTACAATTTAAAAAGTCTAAATGTACAAATCTGGACAGATTTAGCTTCTGACCAGAAACTTAAAAAGACGTAAAACTTTTTTTTTTCATGACACTAGTTACATGTATTTCAGCTGTGGAAAATAACATTTGGCAAAAATTATTTGAAAAATGTTAGATTATCACGAAATTTAACATTTAAGATGTGCATATTTTCAGAACCTCAGGTTAAGTTTAAAAACTTTATTTTTTGCTTTAAAATATACCCTTTTCATGTACTTTTTAAAAGTTAAGAACCATTATGTACTTCACAGACTTTTTTTTATCCTAAAACTTCCATAGGACAAGGTTGTAATCAAAGTAAACTTGAAAGATATCAATAAAATTTATTTCTTCAGAAAATACACCGACTTTTTTCGTTTTTTATGATACACAGTAAGAATCATGACTTTATAAAATAAAATTAGTTATTGTTATTCATATTACTTTTGATGTAAAAGATGTTAAGAAACAATTGGTAATATATACTGTAAGTCAATGTTCACACGGCAATTACAACATACTGTTTAAAATCGTTTTATTTTCATTTCCGTGGTCTTCAGTGAGTAGTAATGTCCACGCCATGTCGCCCAATTTATCCCGTCAGCGTATGACAGATGATTTCCCTTAAGGTACATCCCATTCAGATTGGAATAATGGCAAGAGTTATACCACCAACCACCCTTGAATCTCTTTGCACAGTTACCCGACGTATCGTGGTCTTTTGTGTAGAACTGTGCCCCATTATGATGAATTATCAATGAGTCACCTATGAAATTATTCAAAGATAATGGTGTATTTTTAATAATATATGTAGTAAAGGAGCAAAGGAACAGAATATCAAGATTTCTCTATATTTTAGCTCTTTGAGCTAGAAGTTTATTCGAATTATCATATACCAAGATGTCCACATGTCTCTGTGTTTCTGCCTTTTTGTTCACATTACTTATTCTCAACTACCTTTATAGAGCTTATTTCATCAACAATGGTACAAAACATTCAAAGGTAAAGCACGGAAATGAGTAATTTAAAAATCTTCTCAGGAACCACTAGGAGAGTCTTTTGTGTGGCGCAGTGGAAAGAGCTCCTGCGTTAGAGAACGGAGTAAAGAATTGATCCTTAAGTTGTGAGTTCGAATCCCAGTGTGGGACGCGAAAACTGCTCCTTCAAATACAACCGTAAAAACCGTGGTCCCGCTGGCACGAAACAGATCCTTCACTGCTAATTGGTCCTGAGTGCCGAGTATAGGACAAAATGTGTAATTGTCCACGGGCAAATGATGGTGCCTCTATATGAGTGAAAATTCTCGAGATGGACGTTAAACAACACGTTAAAAAACTAAGAAAACTATCTGAAAGTCATTCTTTATATCTAATAATAATCCCCAGCTGACCTCTGTTTTTATTAAAGTCTTTTCTTGAAGACTTCATAGCCTGTGTATTTTAAATTGTTAAACTATTGCCTCTGTATATAACTCAGTTTTACACGTTTGGTCTCTTACACATCTGTTTTTGTTTTTTTTTCAGGCGATCAAAGTGCTTAATATTTTAAACATAAAACAATAAAAGTTGAAGTGTTGCTATTTTGTCAATTTTCAACTTTGAAAGTTACCCACGAGGTATTAATTTGGAAACGTTTTCAAGTTTTACCTGCAGTCCCTTCGTAGTCTTCAACATGAAGATTATATCCATGGGCTTCATCACCTATGGAAAATCTTCTGTACAGAGCATATCTTTTTTCATCATTAAAATCAGACATGTCTATCCGCAGTTCATAATATCCTTGGTTAACAATTTCATTAATGTTGTGGTTTCCTGAAAAAGTGGATGCATTTTCAAAATGAGAATTTTAACATAAAAGGTTTTACTTTTCAAAGTTATTGAATGAGTAAAAGCAAATCATTTTTACAATTTGTACAAGAAGCAAGAAATGAGGACTTTATATTGAATGGGAAAATATGATTATTTCTTCTCCTTAAGGGACTCCGACCCTCCGCCAGGAAGGAGAACTCTTTAATTTATAATTTAAGGTCAGACGAGACGTTCCTCAAAATCTGATTTGTATATCTTCCTAATGTATGAAAAATATTCAAAAATGTTATAACATTTTGATTTCTAAACCAGTTTCTAAACGATTTTAAAACACCCAAACACTTAAACATTTGAAATTTAAAATGATTTTTCTTCCCCAAAGGATTATATAAGAAAAGCTACCCCTGGTATCTTGCAGAAATGCCTTGTAAATTACCTCAATTTTTTGTGAGTAAACATATTTAAGTAGCAAAACTTCAATGACAAACTCTTAGAAAAAAGTATCTTTTATTAAGGAACGTCTCGTCTGTCCTTAATTAAACAAGAGGCCCATGGGCCACATCGCTCACCTGAGCACTGTGGCTGGGAAAAAGTAGAAATTGGTTTATTATTGAAAAGTTTAAATCCAAAAGTAGTCCCATGAGCAATGGCTTTGCTATTCTTGAGAAGATGATTTTTAAAGAATTTTCCTATACATGTCTATGTAAAACTTTGATTGGCCATTGTGTCCCCGCCCTACCCCCGGGGGTCATGATTTGAATAAACTTGAATCTACATTACCTGAGGATGCTTCCATATAAATATGATCAATTATGGCTTTGTTATTCTTGAGAAGATCTTTTAAGAATTTTCCTATATATTTCTATGTAAAACTTTGGTCGGCCATTGTGGCCCAGCCCTACCCTCTGGGGTCATGATTTGAACAAACTTGAATCTACACTATCTGAGGATGCTTCCATATAAATATTATGAATTATGGCTTTGACATTCTTGAGAAGAAGATTTTTTAAAGAATTTTCCTATATATTTCTATGTAAGACTTTGGTCGGCCATTGTGGCCCCGCCTACCCCCGGGGGTCATGATTTGAACAAACTTGAATCTACACTACCTGAGGATGCTTCCATATAAATATGACAAACATGGCTTTGTTATTCTTGAGAAGAAGATTTTTAAAGAATTTTTCCTATATATCTCTATGTAAAACTTTGGTCGGCCATTGTGGCCCCGCCCTACCCCCGGTGGTCATGATTTGAACAAACTTGAATCTACACTACCTGAGGATGCTTCCATATAAGTATTATCAATCATGGCTTTGTTATTCTTGAGAAGAAGATTTTTAAAGAATTTTCCTATATATTTCTATGTAAAACTTTGGTCGGCCATTTTGGCCCCGCCCTACCCCCGGGGGTCATGATTTGAAAAAACTTGAATCTACACTACCTGAGGATGTTTCATCTTTCCTGGCACAGTGGTTCTTGAGAAGAAGATTTTTAAAACATACCACCAAATTTTCATTAATTCCCAATTATCTCCCCTTGAATGAGGGCCTGGCCCTTTATTTGAACAAACTTGAATCCCCTTCATGCAAGGATGCTTTGTGGCAAGTTTGGTTGAAATTGGCCCAGCGGTTCTTGAGAAGAAGTCGAAAATGTGAAAAGTTTACAGACAGACGAACAGACAGACGGACAGACAGACAGACAGACGGACGCCGGACAAAATGTGATCAGAAAAGCTCACTTGAGCTTTCGGCTCATGTGAGCTAAAAACATTAACCTGGTCATTCCTTTGCTGAAATTGCAGCATCTGAAACTTTGACTGGTACAATGAAACACATTAGAAGCATCTTCCATGCATGTCTAATCAATATAGGACATAGGAGTACTTCAAAAGAAAACTGCTCCAAAAAACTTAACCTTAACCTGGGACGCCAACGCCGAGGATATTACATAAGCTCCCCCAACTTCGTTGAGGTGAGCTAAAAAATTGGGACGTGTGTAACTTTTTTCAGTTCCTATCAATAACTAACAAAAGAAGTATTTTCCCTTTATTTCAGAGTAAAGGATAAAGTTCTATTGTTACAGGCTAAGGGTTGATGTTTATGAACAGAACCTTTGTCAACCTTATTACAATTTCTGATTTCTAAGCGGTGTTTTTATCAATTGAAGCCATCAATTTGGCCATAAACCAGTTCTTTGGGAAAACACTGAAAAGTTTCAGATTATCCTACCTAAAGGTAGTTGCAGCACTGTGCATCAAATTTTAAATGATAATCAGCTTCTTGTATCTTAAATCTCAAAGAGGTTTTTCTCAATTTTATAAACGACAAAAATTTTATTTTAGGCAAACAAGAATTGTGTACAAGGTAAAACATTCAGAAATCTTTTTCTTTTAACAAATAATATTAATCAATACTCTGTTCTTACTGAAGGTAAAAAAACTCAAAACCATATACCTTTGGATCTGTAGTAATAAATAACAACCCCAATAATGATGAACAATAAAACCAGAGGTGCCAAAACTGCTGGGATAATAAAGTTCAGCTGGTTTGAAGATTCAACATCAGCACTTTCGGTGGTAGTTCTTCCACTGTAAAACAAGAGGTTCAGGGGCCACAGCACTCACCTGAACACATCGGGCTTGAATTTACTCATCCCCCCCTCCAGGCATTCATCATTTGAACAAACTAGAATCTACACTACGTACCTGAGGATGATTCCATATAAATATCACTAATCATAGCTTTGAAGTACTTGAAAAGAAGATTTTAAAAGATTTCCCTATATATCCCTATGTAAAACTTGGGTCGGCCATTTTGGCCCCACCCTAGCCCCGGAGGTCATGATTGGAACAAACTTGAATCTACACTACCTGAGGATGATTCCACATGAGTTTCATCTTTCCTGGCCCAGTGGTTCTTGAGAAGGATTTTTAAAGATATTTCCTATATATTCCTATGTAAAACTTGGGTCGGCCATTTTGGCCCCACCCTTGCCCCGGGGATCATGATTTGAATAAACGTGAATCTACACTACCTGAGGATGATTCCACATGAGTTTCATCTTTCCTGGCCCAGTGGTTCTTGAGAAGAAGATTATTAAATATTTTTCCTATATATTCCTATGTAAAACTTGGGTCCGCCATTTTGGCCCCACCCTAGCCCCGGGGGTCAAGATTTAAATAAACTTGAATCTACACTACCTGAGGATGATTCCAAATGAGTTTCATCTTTCCTGGCCCAGTGGTTTTGGAGAAGAAGATTTTTAAAGATTTTTCCTATATATTCCTATGTAAAACTTGGGTCGGCCATTTTGGCCCCACACTTGCCCCGGGGGTCATGATTTGAACAAATTTGAATCTACACTACCTGAGGATGATTCCACATGAGTTTCATCTTTCCTGGCCCAGTGGTTCTGGAGAAGAAGATTTTTAAAGATTTTTCCTATATATTCCTATGTAAAACTTGGGTCGGCCATTTTGGCCCCACCCTTGCCCCGGGGGTCATGATTTGAACAAACTTGAATCTACACTACCTAAGGATGATTCCATATGAGTTTCATCTTTCCTGGCCCAGCAGTTCTGGAGAAGAAGATTTTTTAAAAAATGCCATTAATTTTTAACAAATTCATGATTATCTCCCCTTGGAAAAGAGTGTGGCTCTTCATTTGAACAAACTTGAATCCCCTTCACCCAAGGATACTTTGTGCCAAGTTTGGTTGAAATTGGCCCAGTGGTTCTTGAGAAGAAGATGAAAATGTGAAAAGTTTACGACAACAACGACAACGACGACGACAACAACGACGACAGACAACGGACAAATTTTGATCAGAAAAGCTCACTTGAGCCTTCGGCTCAGGTGAGCTAAAAAGTCTTTAAATGAAGCTTGAAAAGAAAATCTTTTAATGCAAAAATTTTCATTACATGCCTCTCAATGTGCTTCAAGGTTCTTTGAACTTCTTAGAAAAGTTTAATTAAAAGTAGAAATTTTTATCCCGAAAAAGCATTTTTAGATACCAATTTTTATTAACATGATGTGAAATAAGAAATGATTTCTGGAGCTTTGCAAAAAACCTTGAAGCACATAGAAAGGCATAAAAAGAAAATTGTTGCATGGAAAGATTTAATTTTCAATCTTCGTTAAAGACTTTTTGAATTAAATCATAATTAAAGAGTTGTCCTTCCTGTCTGAGGGTCGGAGTCCCTTAATTAGTACTTCAAAGCGAAAAGTTTATTCATTCTCATTTATTTAAAAGAAAAATGTTACCTTTCCGGTAAAGACACATAATTAAAAAAATACTCATTACATACCAAGCCAATATTCCCCAGCCTTGTTACCAAAACCGTTCTTGTAGTCCTCCCAATTCCGGAAAAAGTCGATCGTCCCATCCATCCGTCTCTGTATTACCTTTAATGTTGCATATTAATATATGTACGATAGGTTATCAAAAAGTTAGTGGTTTAGCGTCTTAAAATTAAAACTGCTTAAGGTACATCAATGAATAGGAAAAAAAGTTAGCATCAGCTTTTCTAAATTATTAAATAAACCACAAATTATAAGT